CCCCACCAAAAATTCCAGAACCCCACCCCATGGGAACCACAAACGGCAGCAGGAACCAACTTTACAAGCCCACCATACCGACCACGGCACGGCCGCCTCGGCAATTAACCCATTTACGGCCCCCTTTCAAAAACCCTTTTCAGGCCGTCCCCTCCACGGTCCATTTACAAGCGTTAGACACGTCGGGACATACGGGGGTGGGTCGGGCATACTGACTTCGTGCTTCTCTTCACCCACGTCCTTGTCCTTTTGATCACCACAGCACAAATCCACGTCTGCGATGGAGGGCAACGCATACATAGACAATAATAGACTGAAGTGAGCACCTTCACATAGTCCCACATTGAAGAAAGTGTAGATGGTCTAAGTGCACAGTCAGCTGCCACAGTCTGGAGATTCATGCTTCTTGTCGGCAATTTCTCTTTTCGGTAAAGACATACGCCTATGGCGTAATTGCGCGAGTTGGCTCTGACCTGACCCAACACAGAATTTCGCGCATGATCTAGCCATCTTTTTTATCCCACATCTGCTGCTTTCGGTGATGTCTACTGGCAATCGGACTGGCGACAAAAACATTACCGCCTCTTAATCCGAATAAAGAACACGGTGTGGTCAGGCTGAGAAGCTATTGATAGAAGCACCCTTTTAAAGAGTTGCAGACTACGTGCAAGAAGAGGACCGTATGGAATCGGATCAGAGCACTTTAGCTGATAACACGATTCGCGGCTCGAACTGCCTGTTATTGAGCCTTGCCCTCTGTTCCACGACGTTTTTTGGTTATCACGCGCTGACTTTCTGTGGTGCAGCTAGGGGGACGACACGGTGCAGCCAATGACTAGCATACGCAAAAAAGGGAGTGTCTAATGCGAAGAAACACTGACAAACATTCGCCACCCCGGCAACAAGGACAAGAGCAGTGGCGAGAGAGGCCACACGAAATGGAGTACGTATGTCAGCGGTGGGATTTGAACCCACGAGTGCGAACACAGTAGAACTTGAGTCTACCCCCTTAGACCGCTCGGGCACACTGACGACAAAAACATAGCTCCCACCACAAAATCAGACACACCCATGAACATAACTGCACAGAACACCTACAGCCACATACGCCACGCACGCCGCCTCGCACTAACCACTACGCCCCCTTCAAAACCTTTCAGCCGTCCCACCACGCTCATTTACAAGCGTTAGACACTCCGGGCATACGGGGTGGTCGAGCATACTGGCTTCGTGCTTCTCTTCACCCACGTCCTTGTCATTTTGATCACCACAGCACAAAACCACGTCTGCGATGGAGGGCAACGCATACATAGCCAATAATAGACTGAAGTGAGCACCTTCACATAGTCCACATTGAAGAAAGTGTAGATGGTCTAAGTGCACAGTCAGCTGCCACAGTCTGGAGATTCATGCTTCTTGTCGGCAATTTCTCTTTTCGGTAAAGACATACTCTAAATGCGTAATTGCGCGAGTTGGCTCTGACCTGACCCAACACAGAATTTCGCGCATGATCTAGCCATCTTTTTTATCCCACATCTGCTGCTTTCGGTGATGTCTACTGGCAATCGGACTGGCGACAAAAACATTACCGCCTCTTAATCCGAATAAAGAACACGGTGTGGTCAGGCTGAGAAGCTATTGATAGAAGCACCCTTTTAAAGAGTTGCAGACTACGTGCAAGAAGAGGACCGTATGGAATCGGATCAGAGCACTTTAGCTGATAACACGATTCGCGGCTCGAACTACCTGTTATTGAGCCTGCCCTCTGTTCCACGACGTTATTTGTTTATCACGCGCTGACTTTCTGTGGTGCAGCTAGGGGGACGACACGGTGCAGCCAATGACTAGCATACGCAAAAAAGGGAGTGTCTAATGCGAAGAAACACTGACAAACATTCGCCACCCCGGCAACAAGGACAAGAGCAGTGGCGAGAGAGGCCACACGAAATGGAGTACGTATGTCAGCGGTGGGATTTGAACCCACGAGTGCGAACACAGGTCTACCCCCTTAGACCGCTCGGGCACACGAACGACAAAATCATAGCTCCCGGTCGAGCATACTGGCTTCGTGCTTCTCTTCACCCACGTCCTTGTCATTTTGATCACCACAGCACAAAACCACGTCTGCGATGGAGGGCAACGCATACATAGCCAATAATAGACTGAAGTGAGCACCTTCACATAGTCCACATTGAAGAAAGTGTAGATGGGCTAAGTGCACAGCCAGCTGCCACAGTCTGGAGATTCATGCTTCTTGTCGGCAATTTCTCTTTTCGGTAAAGACATACGCCTATGGCGTAATTGCGCGAGTTGGCTCTGACCTGACCCAACACAGAATTTCGCGCATGATCTAGCCATCTTTTTTATCCCACATCTGCTGCTTTCGGTGATGTCTACTGGCAATCGGACTGGCGACAAAAACATTACCGCCTCTTAATCCGAATAAAGAACACGGTGTGGTCAGGCTGAGAAGCTATTGATAGAAGCACCCTTTTAAAGAGTTGCAGACTACGTGCAAGAAGAGGACCGTATGGAATCGGATCAGAGCACTTTAGCTGATAACACGATTCGCGGCTCGAACTACCTGTTATTGAGCCTGCCCTCTGTTCCACGACGTTATTTGTTTATCACGCGCTGACTTTCTGTGGTGCAGCTAGGGGGACGACACGGTGCAGCCAATGACTAGCATACGCAAAAAAGGGAGTGTCTAATGCGAAGAAACACTGACAAACATTCGCCACCCCGGCAACAAGGACAAGAGCAGTGGCGAGAGAGGCCACACGAAATGGAGTACGTATGTCAGCGGTGGGATTTGAATCCACGAGTGCGAACACAGTAGAACTTGAGTCTACCCCCTTAGACCGCTCGGGCACACGAACGACAAAATCATAGCTCCCGGTCGAGCATACTGGCTTCGTGCTTCTCTTCACCCACGTCCTTGTCATTTTGATCACCACAGCACAAAACCACGTCTGCGATGGAGGGCAACGCATACATAGCCAATAATAGACTGAAGTGAGCACCTTCACATAGTCCACATTGAAGAAAGTGTAGATGGGCTAAGTGCACAGCCAGCTGCCACAGTCTGGAGATTCATGCTTCTTGTCGGCAATTTCTCTTTTCGGTAAAGACATACGCCTATGGCGTAATTGCGCGAGTTGGCTCTGACCTGACCCAACACAGAATTTCGCGCATGATCTAGCCATCTTTTTTATCCCACATCTGCTGCTTTCGGTGATGTCTACTGGCAATCGGACTGGCGACAAAAACATTACCGCCTCTTAATCCGAATAAAGAACACGGTGTGGTCAGGCTGAGAAGCTATTGATAGAAGCACCCTTTTAAAGAGTTGCAGACTACGTGCAAGAAGAGGACCGTATGGAATCGGATCAGAGCACTTTAGCTGATAACACGATTCGCGGCTCGAACTGCCTGTTATTGAGCCTTGCCCTCTGTTCCACGACGTTTTTTGGTTATCACGCGCTGACTTTCTGTGGTGCAGCTAGGGGGACGACACGGTGCAGCCAATGACTAGCATACGCAAAAAAGGGAGTGTCTAATGCGAAGAAACACTGACAAACATTCGCCACCCCGGCAACAAGGACAAGAGCAGTGGCGAGAGAGGCCACACGAAATGGAGTACGTATGTCAGCGGTGGGATTTGAACCCACGAGTGCGAACACAGTAGAACTTGAGTCTACCCCCTTAGACCGCTCGGGCACACTGACGACAAAAACATAGCTCCCACCACAAAATCAGACACACCCATGAACACAACTGCACAGAACACCTACAGCCACATACGCCACGCACGCCGCCTCGCACTAACCACTACGCCCCCTTCAAAACCTTTCAGCCGTCCCACCACGCTCATTTACAAGCGTTAGACACTCCGGGCATACGGGGTGGTCGAGCATACTGGCTTCGTGCTTCTCTTCACCCACGTCCTTGTCATTTTGATCACCACAGCACAAAACCACGTCTGCGATGGAGGGCAACGCATACATAGCCAATAATAGACTGAAGTGAGCACCTTCACATAGTCCACATTGAAGAAAGTGTAGATGGGCTAAGTGCACAGCCAGCTGCCACAGTCTGGAGATTCATGCTTCTTGTCGGCAATTTCTCTTTTCGGTAAAGACATACGCCTATGGCGTAATTGCGCGAGTTGGCTCTGACCTGACCCAACACAGAATTTCGCGCATGATCTAGCCATCTTTTTTATCCCACATCTGCTGCTTTCGGTGATGTCTACTGGCAATCGGACTGGCGACGAAAGCATTACCGCCTCTTAATCAGAATAAAGAACACGGTGTGGTCAGGCTGAGTAGCTATTGATAGAAGCACCCTTTTAAAGAGTTGCAGACTACGTGCAAGAAGAGGACCGTATGGAATCGGATCAGAGCACTTTAGCTGATAACACGATTCGCGGCTCGAACTACCTGTTATTGAGCCTGCCCTCTGTTCCACGACGTTATTTGTTTATCACGCGCTGACTTTCTGTGGTGCAGCTAGGGGGACGACACGGTGCAGCCAATGACTAGCATACGCAAAAAAGGGAGTGTTTAATGCGAAGAAACCCTAAAAAACATTCGCCACCCCGGCAACAAGGACAAGAGCAGTGGCGAGAGAGGCCACACGAAATGGAGTACGTATGTCAGCGGTGGGATTTGGAACCCACGAGTGCGAACACAGTAGAACTTTTTGTCTACCCCCTTAGACCGCTCGGGCACACTGACGACAAAAACATAGCTCCCACCACAAAATCAGACACACCCATGAACACAACTGCACAGAACACCTACAGCCACATACGCCACGCACGCCGCCTCGCACTAACCACTACGCTCCCTTCAAAACCTTCCAACAGTTCCACCACGCTCATTTACAAGCGTTAGACACTCCGGACATACGGGGTGGTCGTGCATACTGGCTTCGTGCTTCTCTTCACCCACGTCCTTGTCCTTTTGATCACCACAGCACAAATCCACGTCTGCGATGGAGGGCAATGCATACATAGCCAATAATAGACTGAAGTGAGCACCTTCACATAGTCCACATTGAAGAAAGTGTAGATGGTCTAAGTGCACAGTCAGCTGCCACAGTCTGGAGATTCATGCTTCTTGTCGGCAATTTCTCTTTTCGGTAAAGACATACGCCTATGGCGTAATTGCGCGAGCTGGCTCTTTGACCTGACCCAACACAGAATTTCGCGCATGATCTAGCCATCTTTTTTATCCCACATCTGCTGCTTTCGGTGATGTCTACTGGCAATCGGACTGGCGACAAAAACATTACCGCCTCTTAATCCGAATAAAGAACACGGTGTGGTCAGGCTGAGAAGCTATTGATAGAAGCACCCTTTTAAAGAGTTGCAGACTACGTGCAAGAAGAGGACCGTATGGAATCGGATCAGAGCACTTTAGCTGATAACACGATTCGCGGCTCGAACTGCCTGTTATTGAGCCTTGCCCTCTGTTCCACGACGTTATTTGGTTATCACGCGCTGACTTTCTGTGGTGCAGCTAGGGGGACGACACGGTGCAGCCAATGACTAGCATACGCAAAAAAGGGAGTGTCTAATGCGAAGAAACACTGACAAACATTCGCCACCCCGGCAACAAGGACAAGAGCAGTGGCGAGAGAGGCCACACGAAATGGAGTACGTATGTCAGCGGTGGGATTTGAACCCACGAGTGCGAACACAGTAGAACTTGAGTCTACCCCCTTAGACCGCTCGGGCACACTGACGACAAAAACATAGCTCCCACCACAAAATCAGACACACCCATGAACACAACTGCACAGAACACCTACAGCCACATACGCCACGCACGCCGCCTCGCACTAACCACTACGCTCCCTTCAAAACCTTTCAGCCGTCCCACCACGCTCGGTTACAAGCGTTAGACACTCCGGGCATACGGGGTGGTCGAGCATACTGGCTTCGTGCTTCTCTTCACCCACGTCCTTGTCATTTTGATCACCACAGCACAAAACCACGTCTGCGATGGAGGGCAACGCATACATAGCCAATAATAGACTGAAGTGAGCACCTTCACATAGTCCACATTGAAGAAAGTGTAGATGGGCTAAGTGCACAGCCAGCTGCCACAGTCTGGAGATTCATGCTTCTTGTCGGCAATTTCTCTTTTCGGTAAAGACATACTCT